GAGAGAGAGAGAGAGAGAGAGAGAGAGAGAGAGAGAGAGAAAAGAATTGACAAGTCAAATTGATTTGATTGAATTTCAATCGAAATCAAATTTCAATATTCACATACCCGTGACCATCTCGGCTAACAAGCTCTTTTCGTAGGCGATTCTTGAAAATCTCCTCTTTGCTAAGCTTATCTACTTCATCGACAGGCGTATTACACTGGAATGGTCGAGCACATAGAAATTGAGTTAGTAACCAGACGCGTGCAAAAGAAAAAAAAATCAAAATTAAGCTAGCAGCATTCACCTTTGACTCTTCATCCTTGAATGTGTCGGATGGTCCATCCTCTTCGATTTGAACGTTTGTATTTGACTGTTGGTCGCCATTTTTCGTCTCATTCTCTTCCGAAAACTGTAATAAGATGCAGATTTCATTTAAAACGTATCTCTTTGATATTGTATGTGTGAAATTAAATTCTTTTTCCTCTCCTTTGGGACGGAAAATTCAATTTAACTAAACAAAAAACGAATACAGCAAATTTACTTCGGTCAAAACACTCACGGGTATCAAAACTTTTTTGATGAAATATGTTTTAAGGCCGGCAATGCGCAATGTTTCCTCACGTTTTTCACCGTAAGCTGGCTCAACCTCAAATTCACCGCTCAAACATTGTAGCGTTTTCTCCGAAATGTGAACACGTCTGTAATATGAAAGGTCAATTTTTCGTCATGAGACACATAATATCATGTTTTTGCTACAAGACACGTTCGGGCTTAACGACTAATTTTAAAATGGGCTTGTAATTTTTTCAAGAACACAGACATTCGTCAATCATGAATTGAGCGAAATGACACAAAAGGTCAAATACAATTGCAATCCTAGGTAACATTTCGTACATTTACCAATGCAACACACGCATTTAATCTTTAAAAAAGCATCAAATTTACTTGAATGTGAAAATCATTGTGCAGTTTTGTGCGTTGAATTGAAAATGTATGTGACAAAATGTTGGTACTGTATCCGGGCCAAACAACATTTGTATACCAATTCGAACCTGAATACATTTGAATTTACTTTTTTACATTCTATGTGTATGTCTCTGTGCAACCTCAAACCAATTTATACACGGAGCCGCACAGCATGATAAGCTTTTATTTCCATTTCAAGTTAGTGACCGCAATAAATCATTTCACAATGTATTTTCATGCATGAGGTTAACCCTTTTTTCAATGGATATGCATCAATGAGCGCGCGGTTACACACCACCATCGCTGAACAAATATTCCGCACACGAAACACGAATTCTCTCATCATTATTTTGGTGTGAAAATCGCTGTGTATCGAAAATGTAAGTGTGTATGTGCGTCAAAGATATGTTTGCATGTTTCGACACTTACCCGGCCATTCCGCTTGATTCCATTTTGTTGGCTAATTCAACATCCTTTGAGTATACATCATATTGCCATTGTCTCTGCCCCAAGATGCCAGCCAAAATAGCGCCAGTATGGATTCCAACTCGCATATCAACCGGTGAATTGGTTTTTTGTTGCACGTATCTATGGAATTTTTATCGACAACAAAAAAAAATCGAATTTCATTGACAATGAAAATTGAATGTGTCACGATACAAAAAACACACAATGGAAAAACCCCGAAACAATTACAAATTGACATTTGGCAATTGTTATATTGATTTTCAATACAGAGAATGTGTTTCGTTCGTGTCACACACATACGCTTAAAATCAACTGAACCACACTTGTTTGCGGTGAATTGAGTTTTTTTTAAACTGGATAAAATCAAAGTCTATTTATAGAAAATCGTTAAAAATGTTCATGATAACTGTGTTAATAAATGTGATTTCAATTACTTGATTGCTTTCACCATCGATAGGCCCATGTGAACACATAATACAGCATGGTCGGGACGCTCGATATTCGCTCCGCTTATACAATAATAACAATCGCCGAGAATTTTAATCCGCAATTGATGATATTTCTGGGAAAAATTGACAAAAATCAAAACGTTATATTAAAACTCATTTTTTTTTTATTTAAAAAAAAATATACATACCTCAGCAAGTCGATCGAAGCGGGCGAAAAGCTCATTTAGCATTTTGACAAGATCTTGAGCCGAATAGGTGGATGAGATGGCTGTAAAACCGACAATATCCGCATACAGAATGCTAAAACGAACAAAATGAGTGAAAAATGGATGAAAATTAAAATGGCAGAAGGAGAAAAAACTGCATCCATTAATTTTTGACGTCAAATCTATCAATGTCACAAATACCAAAAGCCACATTTGCCCTTTTTGATGCCAGAGACAATAATCGATGGCAAAGCTTTACAGAAATTCCATTAAATGATATGGCCGGACAAAAGAAAATGACGTCGGGTATGTTGCAAAATTGTCATTAAAATGATTGAAATGTTCTCTTTCTCTCGCATGCTGTACAAATGAATATGCTCTTCTTAATTAAACATTCCATCAACAGAATAGAATACATCGGAAAATGAGAACAGATTGTGCTATTCTTTTTAAAGCTGTGGTTCTATCTAATTCTCTCACAGATAAATAATAAATTATTATTGTATTTCTTTGTCATTGTCAATTAATGTGATTGTCATATAAGTTTTTTTTTGCCGGAGAAAAAGGGCATTGATTGCATTGAATACACAGGCAACATATACAAATAATAAAAGTTGTGCAAAAGATTGATTAAAAGCACTGACTTCCTGTGGTGGTAGCTTATGCAAGAATCATCAACGTCAAATTAGAAGAACGAACAATCAATTTATAATAGGATATCAAACATTGACGTTCCATTGAAAATGAAGTAGCGTGATCCAAAATTAAGTATAAACTAAAACCACTGCCATAGCAGACAACAGTATCTGACATATAATACAGGCAATAAGGTATATGTTGTGTGTATATAGCATATGAAACGCGTCAGTACCACCAAACGTGGATAAACAACATCCTTTGACAAACTAAAGCCCCGAAAAGAAAGAAAGAATACCAAGCTAAATAAACGTGTGTCATTCATTGTCGTAGAAATGTATTGACCTGTTTGCGTGTTTGTGAAAGTAGAATGTCATCATGTATAAAAAAAGCTAGCCTATTAACTACAATCCGAATCCGAATCTTGATAAATGTATATGTGTGTAAATTTCACCCTTGACGCATCCGCTTGCTTTTTATTTTATTCGAGAATTGCGTGTGATTAAACGATTTTGTAATGTTTTATTGTGAAACCAAACTGGATTTATTCCAGCTGATAAAAAAGGTCCACGTGCTACCACTTGAAAAATATGTCACATTCAAACAAATCCAAATCGAAAAAAGCTAAAACGCAATAAAATCATAGATTTGGTCCAGCAATTTCTAGATAGATGTCTAGACTATGTAAATACCAATTACTGAGAGTACACAAAATGAGCTCTAAAAATAATGTTTTCTTCTTTTTTACCAACAAGAAAAAGACTTCAATCATTTCACACTTATAATTTTCTTCTGCAATTGCCCTGTTCGATAGTCGTGTCTCACTTGTGGTATACCGTGTAATTTTATTTCAAACATTCGTAAAAAAATGACTGACAGACATCGACTAAAGTCTGCCGCGAAGCCGTTTGATAAAATACGCTCTGAAGGAACTGACTGGAATCAGTTTGAAATCAATTCGACAAATTTTTCATATTGATTTTCACTTACCTGACATTTTCATGGCGGCTCATGTAAATCTTTTTAAATTGTTCCGAATCGTTCGAGCCCAAATCTTGTCGCACTTTAACTGCTACATGCTCTGGCAGTACGGATAGTAGCAAGCGCTCCTATGTAAAAAAAACATCAACAAAACGAACACGTATATAAAGAAAGATAAATAAAAGATTCGATAAAGTTTTCCATCCAGTTAAACAATTCGAAATGCCCTAAGAATGACAAACACATCTTCTTCGGTAGTTTCTTGTGTTTAGCACGTTTCTCTCGGACAAATCGATAGTGAACATTTGCCAGATTTGTTTGTTTGTTTCATTCACGTGTCAATGAAACGATTTGAATCAACAATTCAGCACAATCAAGCTCAAATTGGCAATATTGTTTATTCTTCTCGGCAACGTTTATTCTATTCATCGCTTCTTTTTTATTTTGAATTGCTGAATGGAAAAGTTCATGTACAATTTTTTGTGTTTACCTGTTCAGCCGATTGCTCTTCAATCACCATTTTTACTTCAAGACTTTTCTTAGCTTCCAAAAATGCACGACGCTGTTTTGCTTCGCCCAAATAGTAACAGAGTAAGCCAATGGCAGCTGCTGTTGCCATCAAAATACAATTCGCAATTTGCTATGTGAAATAAGAAAGAAAAACAAACATTAAACAGATTTAATATGAAATGGAAATGAGGATTTGGTAGTATTTTCGCATGGATGATTGTATTAATTTGTATGGTTTATGGCAAGGGGGTCCGATCAAAAAATCTTAGTAAATCCCAAAAATCGTAGCAAAAATGTGGTTTTCAATCTACTTGGATCAAAATTGATTGTGGGGGAGGGGATGGAGAATTTCGATCAAAGATCCCCAGAAAAGCGAAAAAAAGAAAGAATTGTTCCTTCAGCATTGATTTCGGGGGGAGTTATCAGGCCTCTTATACCACCTGTGCCCATGTATGATTCAAAAGCCAATATTTGCCATATTAAATCTCAACGTGGCTTTCGGGTTACAAAATAATTATATTCCTTAATCGCATGAAAATTGAAATTTGCATGAGATTTAATTTGGTTTGTGCATAAATCCAACCCAAATCATAACATTCGCATGCATACCTGATGCCAAAAGTAGAATTGTTGTTCTCCAAATCCGATAACCATAGCTACGTAGATTACAAATGTGCCAATGCCAAGTAGAATTCCAGCAAAATTCAAAGGTACCGGCAGCGTTACATAAACTAAAAAGTTCAGCAGCACTGCATATCCAACGGAATCGCTGTGAGTTAAAAGGAGAGAGAGAAAAAAATTATAATTATTTATTTAATTACTCGTAAACCATTTAATGTTCCTATTTTGATATTTTGTTCTCATTTTCTTCTATGACTGAAAAATCTTTGGTGAAAACATGTACTTTTGGCTCCTTTTTCCTGCTAGCGTCAATAAAACACAACAAAAACCTTACTAATTAATTGCAATTTTTTTATGGCACGCGCAATAAAAACCAGCAAACTCCTTTTTCCGACGGAGAAGCAAAAATTGAGAGCAAGTGTTATAGCATAATGGATCAACATCAGTGCACACATAAACTGTTTTACGCAACAAACTCATGAGAATGAAAAAAAAATAAAATATATTCAGAGCAATCAACATAAAAAAAGTTTAAATAAATTATCCTTTTCGCCTGCCTAAGCCATGGGGCCAACAGTTGGCTTGAACATGTTTTACATATATATAATTTTAGACATGCTGAAATCATTTCATGCCAACTTGAGAAAGTGCTGAAAGCAACTTTTCTTTTTCTTAAAATCCCGTTCTCTCTTGTTCATTCTCTCTCGCATATTTTCACTATACGTGCACACCGGGAAAAAGCTCTTTCTCTGTGTTCGTGATTGTTGCTCGCTGGCAGCAGCGATAGCAAAATCTATTCACAATGTGCTTGCGAATGCATAACGCGACGAAATTATATAATTAAATGATTGCTGTAGTTTGCTACACGTTCCGTACTTCCATCAATTTTCTCTCACGGTCATGATTGATGTGAAGCTTTAATGGTAATTATGGCCACACTCAGATGCTTTTTGCAATATCCACAATTTCTCTCTCTCTCTCTCTCGCATTCGTTTCGGTATCATTTTCACAAAACAAACGAACGGGCAGACGTGTACGCGGGCGACACAGGCGGTCGCCTGTTGATGTAGCCCTCGAATAAACCGCATACTTTTGACAGGCAACGTTTTTCTTCGTTTTGCTGTCTCGTTCTTTATACTCATTAAACCTAAGCGCACAGTTTGACGTAACTAATCCAGGATTTATATTTCAACGAGATTTTATTGGTGGCAAAAAGTTATAAATAAATTTTCATGATAACCATCAATATAAATGGTTTGACGAAGAAAAAAAAGGCGCAACATTTACCGAAACATGAAATATAATTCGTCACTTTGTTTATTTTCCCTGTGTCATAATAAAACGAGCAAAAAAAATATAGTTTCATTTTTCACCATGTGTAGATATCATATTTACACCGTTGACATCGAAGCCGTTTTTTTGTGTATTATTTTTACTATTCAAGCAAAACCATTTGCTGTGTACACGCGATTCACATTTAAAATGACACTCACACAATTCCACTAACGATACCAATTTAAGCACGTAAAATCTATCTAAAAGTAATCACCGCAAAATTATAAATATAGTTATTTTTATGGAGTTTACAAGCAACTCAACAGTTTCATCTTATCGAATAACTTGGTATTTTATTTTAATCTATTTTTGAAACATTTACATTTTTATATAATCAATTGTTTGAACAGAAAATGTTTCCAGTTAAATGCATTCATTTCAACCGGATTTGTCATAATGACGATGGATTTTAAAGCAACACTCGCTTTCAGCAGAAATTCATTTTTGTGTCGCTGTTAAATCTCATTACAAATAATTTGTTTTTAATACTCAAATACATTGTCGTTTGCTATTGAACAAATCTATGTTCACCGCCATCCATTCAAGTGGGTATAATGTCATTTTTTCAAGCGAGAGAGAGTGAAAGAGCTGGTCTTTCATTAAAACACGTTTTCAGGGGTTTTACAAATCAAATACGCTCGTGATACTCACCGATTTGTAACATATCCTTTGTAGTATAACTGTAACGCCAATTGCATGATGGCAAACAGCCATGCCAAATGCGGTGCTATCTCCCATATTGCTCCACGCCATTTGATATTGCCACAGAATCGTAAGAAGAGAGCTAACGCTAGATTAAATACTATAAATACACATGAGATACCTGCATTCCAATCAACATTATCCACATTCCAATAAATTAATTCCGTTTGGGTTTTTGTTCATTCCAATGGATTGGTTTCATTGTAAATTGAAATAGAGAAAACGAAAGACCTTAATTAGTGACTTTTTTGAATTAAAAGTTAATTAAATCAATTAATTTTTTATTCGATGGATTTTTGAATCGCATCGATAATTGGGGAAATCAAATTTTGATCAAGAAATTCGTAAAACTCGTAAAAATCTTATTAAAAAAGTTGCCGAGTGCAAAGAGAAAGTGTCTAGTTCATGTGCTACCGTGATCTAAAAAAAAGTCTATCCTCCTAGTTTACTGAAGACTCTTTGTGAAGAGTGCCTCTAATAAAGTCTAGATCTGAAGTAGTCCACGACATGAAGTAACTCAAGTCCCACGGGATTTCTAACGAACACAATACAATTAATCAACCCATAGTCTTTTTTTCTTCGTTTCACACGACATTGCCACTGTATATGTTATATTAACTGACCCAAGACAATGAAATGACACTTTAGTAACTATCTCATTATTACTTGTGCTTTATTGGACGAAAGAGGCGGAGGAAGACGAAAAGGAAATGAGAAAGAAATCAATTGGGTCAAAATGCAATTGATTGATTGATAAATCGATTTTTCGTTGGAATCGATGTAAATAGCTTTGTTTTAGGTGGTGTACTGAGAACATACGGAACGATGCAAAATAAAAAGCAAAGTTTATTTAGATCAAGAGTTTTCCTTAGATAAGTATTTATTTGGCGAAATGCGTTGTTTGCACAACGTCGTCACTGTTCGTCACTCTTTAAGCTTTGGATTTATCATAGTGGCAAAGGAACTGTGTAAGCGCTTGAAGATGTTTATATTTGATTATTCACTTTCTCTACTTTATTTCATTTTTTCGTATTTTCTTCCACTTTCCGCTTCGTGTGTCATGCCATGGACCATTTCAATGACGACCGTATAAAACTTTAATCAAATTTTTCGGTTTTATTTTTCTTTGTTGATTTTACGATTCAGCAGATATAGCTTTCTCTCGCTTCGTTTATTCGGCGCTAGGTGGTGAGTTAAAGAAAAACAAGAGACATTTCGAATATATGACATAACAACTGTATACACTATACATACCGATATTTTCGGTGCTTTTTTCTTTTAGTGGCGCGTAAATCACCCACAAATCGAATAGAATTGAGGTAGCTAGAAAGCATTCTAGACCGGCTCGTCGTTGTTTTATCGAATATCGTTGAAATAGATGCTCAAGCACGTCATTCGGTAAAGATACGTCCGATGAAATAGCCGTTGGTTTTGTTGTTTCGTTGCCATCGCCATTTTCTTTAACATCAGCACAACCATTTCTATTTGCATTTGTCTTTTCGACGGTTACGTTCATTTTCGCTTTTTGTTTCTTCGCTTATTTGCTCTTACACAGTCAAGCTCAATTCACTTCCTTAATGCTGGTGCTTATATTCTTTTCTCTTCCGTCTATTTTTATTCGGAAAACTTTTTTTATTTTTTTTATCCACACTTTTGTATTCTCAATTGGCAACGCTCGATCTCAAAAACAACCGAAGAGATAATAGAACACTCTTTTCTATTCGGTTTCTGTTTCAGCAATACTTCAGTTGTGGTTGAACGAAACAAAGGCGGCTTCCTACAAAATGAAAAGAAACGATTACTTGATTGAAAATTGTAATTAAATTGATGCATTGCCATTTTGTTTTTCATTGTAATGACAATCGCTGGATGAGCCAGATTTTCTCCATTCTCCGTGAAATTGTTTCAATAAATTTATGTAATACATTGAATGTCGTGGACAATTTTCATAAAATGATCACGTTGAAAATCTCCGTTCCAACTAACTTTATTATCATATAATGAAATCTAGTTCAAAGACATGATGTACGAGCATCTAATGAACCAAGATGAAAACTTTGAATTGAATCAAATCAACTTTGATTGAGCTTTTATGACTATGTATTTGCGACTGTCGTCGTGTAAATGTATGCAACAAACTTTCTCCGACTCGAGCGAACGATGTATATTACGAAATTTTTCATTCATTCGAATCAATTATACGAATTCCATGGGTTGTAAAATTTGTAAATTAACATTCTGCCAATTATTACAGGCGTTTACAAAATGAAGTACCACACAGTCGTTTGCATCCAGGATAAAATCATATTTATCTATTTATAAAATGAGAATCTGTATGGTGGATATATATATGTCAATTATGTCACATTCAATTACTTCATTATATACTCATTTCGGATTAATACGTCACACCCTCGAAGTCATACATGGGCACGGTCCACGAGTTAAGGAGGGTCGATTTTTTTTCAGGTCAAAAACCCTAAGAAATTGAAAAAATTGACGCCCCGAAAAATTGATTACCAAAAATACCTTTTTTCTCTCCAGAAACTGCGGGGTTCTATCAGCCAACCGATTTTTTCGTTTTTTTGGTGATCACTTTTTTTGCGAACAAATCGAAAGATTTTTTCGCGAAAAACCCTAGAAAAAAAAGTCTTGACTTTCGTGTGAAAAGTCCCTGGCGAATCGGAAGATTTATCGGCTGCCATCGGGAGGGGATGACTCGAACGATTTGAGAGGGGGGTTATTCGGGCTTACACCCCTCCTGCGCCCATGCATGCTCAAAATATTATTGAAATACATCCATCATATTCGCTTCGGTAGATCTAGCCCGCGGGCCACATAGGTTGTCACAGATAAAACTCATCTATTATTCACTCAATAATGCTCAATTTAATAAATCCAACAATTCTGATGTTTGCGGCAAAATTTAATTATATCGAGATACATAATCAAAATATGTATTAAAGCGACCGAATTATTTCGGGCTATTCAGGTCGATTTAAACGATCGCATTGTGTCTAAGTCTGGAAAATTAAAACCGCCGACGGCCATACTTTGTTTAATATAAACTGCGCGGAATGCAATTTAAATATTAAATTTCATATACATAAATTGTATGAAAGTGCTTATTAGAATTATGTATTTCAATGCATATGTTTCTCATCTTGGCATACCATTAAAAAAGCCGTCACAAATGAGATACCATGTACACATCGCACGCATCAACATAGCTTAGTAACTTAATTTCCACAAAATGTGAACCGAATTTTTTTTTGTTCAACTCATATTTATAAATTATAAAGTGACAAAGTTCTAGATATTTGCAACAAACACTTCTGCGGAATGGAATAAGTTAAACCGCACATAAAACCTTTTTCGTAAATGATATGATGACATTGAACAAATTTGGTTGCAAAAATTCAATGGAATGGAAGCGAAATATTTTTATGATTTATGTAACGAAGTTAAAAAAAAGGTTTCACGCAATATCAGAGACATGAAGTTGAAAAAGTTTCGAACAGCCAATAAAAACGAAATAAAAGCTAATGGAAACTAAATTGCATGCAATTGAGAGATGTTATTTCATGGAAAATGACATTCATATCTTTGCCATCATCTTCCCAATTTATTACGTCTAATTTCTTCGCCACATTTTCCCTTTCGCTTCCTTTTTCCTCGACTTCCTTTTGTGCTTTGCTTTTTTCGCTCGTCTATTTTGTCCTTCAAAATTTTATTCAATGCACGAATGGCGACAGCAACGATATCGGTAAACCGAAAAATCGTGTGCACACGTAAAAGAACAAATAAAATATAAAATAAACATCGACAAACATTTGATAGCAGCAAAAGAAAAGCGCATTTTATTTTCATAAGTTTATATATATGTTCGCTTTTCACCACATTTGTGTGTTGCGTGTTTGGTGTAATATGCTCGTCGAGAGTGATAATGCAATAAAAATTGACGGGAATGAAAAGAAAACGAAACGAAACCAAGAAAATGGCTTTAAAATGTGAAATATTCTGCTAACATATTTGGTACATATATAAGAAGGATTATCCCAAATTTCATTTTATTTTTACCTTGCCGCGTGCAAAATTCGTGTGCGCTACATGCCATGATCCAATTTCAATTTGGTGCATTCAAACGTGTAAAAAGTATCTGGAGTTTGGAATAATACAAGCACCTGGAGAAAGGGTGAACGTCGACATATTACAAAAAAGCTTATTCAATACATGTCCTTCACAGTGGTATATATTTCATGGCACTATACTTAATGTCAATATATTTAAAACCTGAGATTGGTCTTTGGTTGTATGTAGCCTGAGTAGGAGTCGAAACGAGAATTTATAACTTTGAATTACAACATAAAAATACATAAATTTAACAAGATACACACCCAGTCGCATTAAAACCGAAAATGCTCTTTTCACAGTGAACTGTTTAAATGAACCCGTTTATGTTTCGTTGTTAAACATTATTGCAAAGCGGTAGGTGTTGACACCGAATACGTTTCGGTGCCACGCTTTCAAAATGACGACATAAAATGTTTGTGTTTTGATTAACACATTGACAAGGATCGAATTTCAACGGAACGATACACAAACTTTATAGACATTTGTCCATTAGCACCTTCAGTTCGGACTGAATCAACTTTTTGTTTGGATTTAATTTTATTACATTTTCTACCCTTTCCGCATTTAACTTCACTGTACATAAATTATTCAACATTCTAAACAGAAATACGTGAGATTTAATCAAATTTCATACTTTTGGTTCACATTCTTCTTTTATTCATTCGTCAAATCAATGCTTACACAATAAAATCATAAAAAATGATCGATTTGCACGCACAGAGACGCACGATTGATTACGTGAATCATTGTTGTCAACTGAAAACTACTCCATTGTTGCGTGCACGACCATGATGAATGAGTAAATCAATCTTGGTAATCAATCTTGGTAATCAATCAGAGTCAATGATCAAAAATTAATGGAAATGGCGTACAAAATAGGTAGTAGATAATATAAAAAAGTCCGAACAGACAAAAAAACGTCAGTTTATCATGAAAAAGCAGTCGGAAAAAAGGGGATAAACATCAGCATCAAATTTAATAACATCATCAAAGGCAAAAGTGATGTCGCATTGTTTGTTTAGTATCTACATCCAAGTGTATGTATTTTTTTGGATATACAGTGAAAGCGGTGTGAATATATACCAGAATCTTTATCGGTTATCATCACCATTATGCTAAACACTACCATTCGACGCACTCTTGCTCATTTTTATTCGATGTAGTGTATTTAGTCTTGAGCACTTCACAAATTCAGTATTGATATAAGATGGATTTTGGGGAAAATGATGAGAATATTATCGGTGCCATCAGTGGGATTTTGATGAAAACGAAAGTGACAGCGACACAGGCAGACAAAGATGGAATGAACAGTGAGCAACAAAGAAATCGAGATGAAGGGACGAGCAAATCTGATTGGATATTTTGTTACAGGCAGTTTGAGCTAAACAGACCAGCTGCTATTGCTGAATGTCATTCTCTTGTATATAGAGCTTTGAATGAAAGGAATGAGTTGTATGAAAGACTCCTATTGAAAGTCAAAGAAAGGAATTTGTATAAGTGAATCCTCGCACTGTCATGGAAGGAACTATTCATGTGCATAAATTTCCATTTTGGATCTTTGGAGCACGAAATCCCCAAAAGAGGTTGACATCCAAGCTTTGGACGCTCTAACGATTGGCATCTTTCTTATTTTTCCTAAATGGAAACTGGACTAATCTAAGACCCCAAATGGAAATCGGAAATTACTCCCTTGTGAGCACAGGACGATGTTACATTTTTGTATAAACTCCACTGTTAAACAGTGAATATTAACAGCAGCAGTTCGGAAGTTAGCCCGACTTGAGGTGTGAAATGCACTTGCAAATATTTCACTCTCGTTGTCGATCTGTTACATCAGTTATGAAATATACCGATAACCTAATCTCTTTCGCGTTAATGTGAATTGATTTCAATAAATAACGATTTGAGTTGATCCTATCCTATGGTGTCGGTAATCTCTTTCAAGCTTTAAATTATTTTTAACATGTGAATATATCGAATCAAAATTTGAATCAATACCACAAAAACCGTACACCCATAGATGTAGAAACTATTGAATGTTCACTTCCTCTCTCTCTCTCTCTCTCTCTCTCTCTCTCTCTCTCTCTCTCTCTCTC